AAAAAATTGGATTGGAATTGATTTTTATTAATTAGGAACAAATTATTAATTAAGAACAAATTAGTAACTAAGAACGGATCTTGATATTCTTATTTTTGTACTTTTAATAGTTATGAGGATATCTCAACCACTAGGTTTTGATTTTTAATAGGTATTCTTATTTTTTATTTTTTTTTAAATGATTTTTTTTATGATATCATATGACATAATTCACTATGTTCCACCTAATTTAATTTTTGACGCAAGTGCCACCAAAAAGAAGGATTAAAGAGCTTGATATGAAAAGGGGAGAGCGAAAGTGGAGAAGAGGTAAAGTTGAGAGAAAGTGAAATTGATGAGAGATTAGGGTTTGAGTATTTTATTCGTTTCTACTTTTAGGATTAGGAAATTAGAAATTTAATATTAATTTTTAAGTAATCTAATAAGAATGAATACAAAAAATTTTGGATCATTTCAAGTGACCTGACTCACCCGTGATCCAACCCATTTGAATTCGGATAATTTCAGTTCGAGTTATTTCAGATTTCAGATTAACATATAGGACACATGACCCTACCTATAATGGATGAATTGGGTTAAATTTTCGGATTGAGTCCAATTTTGCCCAAGTCTATTCCTCTTAGAATACTCTCCTAGTGGTATTAGAGTCTTATCCCTTAACCAAGTCCTATTTCATTCCGTCGTTGTTGACTAAACACCCATTAAAACCCAATCAGTAATCAACTCCATTCCTTCCGCCACCACCAAAGCTGTTGTTGTGACAACCTCCAGTGAACCATCTCCACACAAAAACGCAATTCTCTCACGAAAATAATTGGTATATTTTTTAATTTAGCATATCCATCAATATTTATTGGTTTAGTTATTAAATTTTACAGTTAAAAATTTTCTCACTTTGTATTTAAATTTTTAAAAAATAATTTTTTAATAAATATATTATAGAATATATTGAATTGAAAGGTGTACTCATTATTATCCTTATCTCATTTATTCCTCACTACTAGAAAAAGCTTTATTTCGGATAAAATATTTTGGACAAGAAAATATCTTGACCGAAAAAAGACTTAATTTGTTCAAAAATTTTGATCGAAATATACCTTAGTATAATTAAAAGGTATTTAACATAATAATTCGGTCTAAAATTATTTCGGTCAAATATATTAACCGAAATAAAAGAGCGTCAATTAGTGCTATCGTTAATTCAATCAAGTATTTTATCCAAGTTATATTAATAATAAAATAGTAAACATTTCGATCATAAATTTTGACTGAATTAATTAAGTAATTTTTGTTCTAATTTAGCTATATTTTTCGGTCAAACTTTTGACCGAAATAATTGTCTCCTTTTTAAAAAAAAATTGTATTAGTATGATACTTTCTTTTTTAAAATTTGTTTAATTTTCTATAAAACTAGTTCGGTCAAGCATTTTGACCGAAATAATTGTCTCCTTTTTTTTTAAAAAAAAAATTCTATTAGTATGATCCTTTCTTTTTGTAAATTTTTTAAATTTTTTATGAAACTATTTCGGTCAAGAAACTTAATCAAAATAACTGTCTTCCTTTATTTTTTTAAAAAAATTTCTATAAAAAATTATTATGACGCTTTCTTTCCTAAATTTTTTTAATTTTCTATGATATTATTTCGATCAAGTGTATTGACCGAAATAACTCTCTCCTTTTTTTTTTAATTGTATTAG